GACCAAAAAGCTGATGGGGGAGGAGGCCCTGGCGGGGGGCGACAAGTCGGACCCGAACCTCAATAACCCCGCGGACGAGGACCACGCCTATGCTCTGCGGATGCTGCCCAAGACCGGCTGCGTGATCCAGCCTGTGCCAAAACCCACAGAAAAGGCTGCCATGGCGCCGTGCGTCATCTCCTCGCCCATGCTCAGCGCCGGCCCCGAGGACCTGGAACCGCCGCTCAAAAGGAGGTGCCTCCGAATTAGAAACCAGAATAAGTAAAAAGGTTTGTATGTCAACCTGGGAGCTCCTCCAAGAGCCGGTACCCATCGCCTTGCTTCTCAGAAGGCAGGGGGTGGGGCGAGATGTAGCCATCACCATCCTGTCCCTTCCCTCTTTCACAGTGCACTTTGTGTGGCCAGGTACCATCGACTTGATCCTACACCCATGACACCTGGCAGGGTTACCAGTTTACATCGTTACCAGTTTACAGCCAAGGGGCAGCTAAGTGATCACTGAAGCCCTTGAGCCCAAGTTGAAAACACTTTTCTTAAACGTTTGTTTGTTTTCTTATTATTATTGGGTTTATACCAAATTTACCCCCACTGAAATGCGAGGGGAGGGGAGGTTGGAAGGAAAGATTACTTGGGGAATCTTAATGTTGAGCCCTGAGGCTGCAGGGCAGTATTGAAATGTCAAACCCAGGTGGAGCTGGTGGCCTGCTTGGCCACTCTTACCCTAGCTTGTCAAGATGACCTTAGGACCCCATCTGTGGACTAAAATTAAAAAATAGCCTCCTCCCAACCTGCCATGTCCCTCTTTGGGACTCACTAGCTGAGCTGGTGATTTTCACGCCTGCATACAGACCTTGATGAAGTGGGAGGGCTTATCTCTGACCATGTGTGCGATCGATTATCCTAAGCCACTGAGGGCGAGTCCCAGACCTCTGTGAGACCGTGGGGACCTCATGTGAGCCACTGTAATGACTCCTCCTACCAATCCTAGTGACGAAGGTGTCTTGTTAGGGTTCCTATTGCTGTGAAGAAACAACATGACCATGACAACTCATATAAAGGAAAAATATTTAATTGTTAGCTTACATTCCCAGAGGTTTAGTCTGTTATCATCATGGTTCAACATGGTGGCGTGCAGGCAGACATGGTGCTGGAGAAGGAGCCATGTCCTACATCTTGACTTGTAGGCAGCAGGAAGTGAACTAAGCAAAGATTGAGCAAAAGAGACCTCAAAGCCCACCCCCACAGTGACACACTTCCTCCAACAAGACCACACCCACTCCAACAAAGCCACACCTCCCAATAGTGCCACTCCCTTTGGGGGCCATTTTCTTCCAAACCACCAGTAGGCATTGGAAGCACGCTGCCAAGAAGGAAGCTTTGGTTTAAGGCTTTTTGCTCAGTCAGAGCTGGTCAGTGGGGAGACACATTCTTGATTTCAGGCCTCTCCACCCAAACTCAGAATCTGAGCTCTCCCATCTACCCAAGCAGGCAATAAGCCAAAACTTCAGTTGTATATTAACCATTTATGGAAAGGAAAATAGAAATGGGCACTTCCCCAGCTCTTAACTTATCACTGCTCCCCCTGGGGTCTGGGGACACACAGAAGAATGTTCTACTGGGCTGTCTCAAAGCAGGTACAGTCCTGCAGTGAGGGTTATAACCCAGGCAGGAAGCGGGCCTGGGGTAGGGAAAGCAAGAAGAATGTTCTCTATACTTGTGTGTGCAGGCGTTTCTGTTTTTCCACTAATATTTCTTTGTAGCTAGATTATCTTCAGTCTCTTGGTGGAGAAACAGAGATGCTAGAACAATTATCTTCGGTCTCCTAGTGGAGAAACAGGATTGGGGAACTTGACCAAGATCACCTAACCGGTGAGAACAGTTGTGATTCAAACCCAAGTCGTGAACTCCAAAGGTGAATGTCCTTTGAAGCATGGTAGGAGAACCAGCTACTGAGTTCTTCTGTGTTTATAAAAATTCTCTTATTGCCTTGGAGCTCAGTTCATGAAACACAAGCCTCTACTTACCAGCTTTTCTGGCTTTGCATTCTTGTTTTATCTAGCCATAGACACAGTCTTATCTTCATAGTGGGGACGTGGGCACCTCACTTACAGCCAGAGGCTTGAGTAGAAGCCCTAAACCAGAACAGAAGGCTTAGTGCCTAGTGCAAACATCTTTTCTCAGCCACCATGGTTTGAGGTCTCCTTTTCTACTGGTGGTTTTGCCAGTAGGAGCTGAACACCAGAAATAAGGTCTCAATTCCTTCCTGATTAGCTCTATTAGCTCTACAGTTTCTGCAGTCTGAAGACAGGTGGCATGAGCTTTCCCACAGGCACCTCAACTGAAAATGGCCCAAATAATTTAATCTGTTTGACAACAACACTCTGAGTGATGGATTGATGTGTGACAAGACAAACAAGAAAGCACTGGGACATGTCATTTACACACGCACGCGAGCACACACACACACACACACACACACACACACACACACACACTTCAAGGTATTAAAGGAAGAATGGAAAGTGAAAGAAGTCACTGCCATTACTATGGTAAGAAGTGACCAGAACAGGAACAGGGACACTGCCCTGTGTCCAGTTAGATAAAGACCAAAAGATTATTAAAAGCCTAAGCTGTAAGAATGACTGGGTGATCTATGTTTCTGAATGTGTAATCAGGTGAGGGTCTTGTTTGTAGATCAGCATCACTAGTAAAATGTTAATGTGGCCTTAGCCAATTCTAGAAGATGGTGTGACCATATTGTTCCAAACTCTTGTGATGGGAGAATCCTTTTTATGATGGGTCCCCCCCAAGAAATTACAGCTGTTTTTAAAAGTCAGAAATAGGTTTTTGTGGGCTGCAGAGGGGAGGCAAAGCAAGAGATGTAAGGAGGAGGACCATGTCTTCAGTAAGTCAACACCCCTCCCAGGATGTCACTTCCCAGCCAGCTTCCACCTGCTATAATCCCCCCACACTCTGGACCTTCTGATCCTGGGCACAGGCAGTGCTGGTTTTGCTCTAAGCTCAGGAACTCAGCTTGTTCACATGATTGGGGAAATTCAAAATACATCTATTAACTAAGTAGCTTTTGTGCCAAAATAGTGAACACACTTTGGTAACAAGTTAAAGCCAAAATGGAAACATCAAATGAACAAAATAAGGGCTGCTGGGGAGATGCCTTTGGGTGGATGAAGTGTTTATCACACAAGCACAAAGATCCCCAGCACTCATGTACAAAGTGAGGTACTGAGGTATGGAGGATCTGTAATCCCAGCAGTGGAAAACAGACACAGGAGGATCCCCAGGTCTTGCTGGACACCCACTGTAGATAAATCAATCATCACCTCAAGGTTAAGCAAATGGCGACATCTCAAAAAGCAAGGTGGGACACGACAGGGGAATATGTCACCACACATACACCCAAACAGGAATGATAAGACAGGCTGTGAGGTGCAGGTGAGACTGCCCCACTGCTTGAGTCGTGAGTCACAGAACACAGAGTGGCTCACAGAGGGTCTGAAGCTAACTACACATTGCTCTTCAGTCTTTTCATCATGTCCACTTTTTCATACCATACCACGATTCTAGAGCTTATATTGTGAAACCAGCAAGCCAGCTACACCTGCCCTCAAAGAACTCGACACATTTGTTAAATTGTTTTATTTTTTAGATTGCAGCCTCCCTCTCCCATTCTTCTGTCCCTGTTCTCCTCCTGACTTTATTCATTCTTGTTTGTTCATCTGGCTATAAATGATTTCAATGGGCAGATGTTTCTCCCAGATGTGGAACTGATTGAGTTGAAGATGTTTAAAAAGTTATAAACTCCCTTTAATCTCCAATGTTTAAAGCTCTGGATACCAGTCCTGCAGCTTCGGTAGCTAGAAAAAAAAAATCCCCCGAATAATAAGGAAAACAATGTATAAACACTGCCCAAACTATTCTATCCACAAAGAATTTCATTTGTAAATGGAATAGTCCCTCTTTGTTGTTGTCTGAAAGCTTGGTGGATAGCTGTTTGTATGTTTCCCAGATTCCTACATCTTACACTTGTTTATGGTACATCGGGGAGTTCAGAGTGACCATGTGTAAATTTCTGAAGACATTCAAAGCAAATATCCCCATTCCTTGGTTTTCCAGGGAAAGAATGTATTTTCAAACAAAATAAGCAATGGAAAAATGAAGACCAGGAATTAACCCTTTCACCTCCATTCTCTCTAATCTCCTGGAGCAGGAGAGCCATACACCCATGGCTCTCCAGTCTCTTACATGTTTCTAGAAATGCTCCTCCCTGCTCAGCAGCAGAGGCTACACTTCGCATCTGGAGAAAGCTGGAGGAAGATCATGTCATTTGGGCTCCTTGGAGCTTAGACTGGTCATTGTGACAATACCCAAAATGTTGCTTCAAAACAAAGGGTTAACTTCACTGGGGAAGCCGAAAGGGTGGAGGTGAAAAGGTACTGGTTCCGGTTTTCCTTCTCATACTCTGAAATCCAGGACAACAGACTGGAAGTAAGTGGGAAAGAAAGTCAAAGTAATACCAGGGCGTCCACTTTTAAAGAAAAGAAAGGCCACAGAGCGAGGACAGGAAATCAGCACAGATGGGACATCTCAGTCCTAGGCCAGACCTGAGCTGTTTATGCTGCAGTATTTAATAACTGGAAGTATTCACCGGGTGACAGTCCTGAGTCAAGGTTATCCTGCCTCTCAGTAAGCACTTAGCTGCATGGTTCTAGGTGGAAGTCCTACAGAGAGCCACCTGAAAAGGTGGACACCTAGGAGTGCTGACTGTGATCACTTTAGCTTTCTGAAATCACAGTGGCAAGATGAGGCACAGCAATGTTTCATGCAGTGAACTCTGGCTGCCCATACGCTCAGTACCAGAGGTTTGAACAGGAAGGATCTGGTGTGCAACTTTTAGATACTGTGTGGTGAGGCTTCTCTGGAATATGGGATAACGTGTGTGAGCAGGTGAGGCTCTGCTGGAATATGGGATAACGTGTGTGAGCAGGTGAGGCTCTGCTGGAATATGGGATAACGTGTGTGAGCAGGTGAGGCTCTGCTGGAATATGGGATAACGTGTGTGAGCAGGTGAGGCTCTGCTGGAATATGGATAACGTGTGAGCAGGTATCTAGTGTTTCAGGATGAAGTCATCACCCTGTCACTGGAGCAGTACTAGAACTGAATTGAGACAAGAGAGACATTTGGTGCACAACCTTGCAAGAGGAACTCACTCCATCCATCCTGTAAGTGCGCACTCCCAACATCTTCTAG